GTTTTAGTTTTTCTTTTTCTTTTTATCTTTCTAACTTCTCTCTCTCCTCTTAATAAAACACTTAGAATTATCTCTCTCTTATTTCTCTCTATAAAGTCTTAATTTATGCAATTTTATATTTCTTTCTTTTGGTACTATCTCTTCTCTTCCTTATTACTAATTTTCTTTACTTTGATCCTTATCATGTCTCCTTTAATTGCTTTGTTTATTTTATATTTAATTATGTCTGAGTAGTTTTCTTTCTAGGGTATATGGGGATCCATAAATAATATGAAGGGGTAATTTATGGTTGTTAATTGTCAATGCTATATTAATTTCCTATTGATTGATTTAATGCTCTGTGACTAGATTTGCGTAGATCTTTTATGCATGAGTTTAACAATATTGATTCGAGATTCGACAGATGAGAATTGATGTTTAGGTCTAGTTTCAATAGGCAGGTTAATTTATAAATGGTTAAGTCGAGATTCGAAAGATGAGATTTAATACCGGTAAATTAATTGTGTGATTGTAATACGTATCGAAAGCCCTTTATGATCTGATTAATGTATGCATTGATGATTGATTATTATGTTCTACCTTGGAATATTTTTTATTGGTGAACCTATGCCCTAGATCCTTTTATTCTTTGTCTTCTCCTTAATCTTAATCTCCGTAGTTTAGTTCCTTTTGATTATAATATATTAGTTACTTCATAATCTAGATTATATTAGTTAATTAGGAATAGAAAGACTCGTTTCTCTGTGGATTCGACCCTACTTCCCTATCTACATTAGTTAGAGGATTTAGGAATTACTTTTGATTCGGGGATACGACTTTACCCTGTCATTCATCTCGGGTGACTGGAGCCTAACCCCTTGCGGTCTGGGTTTCCCCAAGCGATGGTCCAGTAGATTTACTAGGACCAGCATCAACGTTGCTCTGCTCTAGTTTATCCCTGGTACGGGTGCGCTTAGAGATTAGTGACCCATCAGGGGCCACATGGGTTTCGACTTCACAGTCGTTGTCTGCATCATTATCAAAATAGACCACCCCCTCGGCTCCAGGCATGTTGGGTTCAGGTGGCGGTATAGAATATTGAACCATCTTAGAGGTACTCTCCCCATAGTCGGCGCCAAATGTTCTGGGTGTTTTCTGGTCCCTCGGGAGAGTTACGTCACCAAAACTGGTTCGGCGCGCTCTGTACCTGCAAAAGACGAAGGGTTGTAGGAGCTCCGCCTCCGACGATCAAGTTAGTATTGGTCGTGGAAGATGAAAAGGTGCGGAAAAGGTAAAGATGATATCTTTTCGGATTCTGAGATTAGGTGTTTATCTGATGTAAGAGAATGTAGGTATGTTGTAATAATTGAATATGTCCCAAAAATGGGGGAAATCTCTCTATTTATAGGGTCATTAGAAAAGGTGTTCTTTCTTAGGTCATTCTGACCCAAGTTTTGTGGGTTGCGCCGTATTACTGCTTTCTTGGGATTTAGGCCATGAAGGCAGCCTTTTCTCCCAATTGTTTGAATAGACACGTGTCATGAAATAATTGATCCATTTAGACCTTTCATGGGTGACATGTGTCACCTTCTGATACGGCCACGCTTCTTGGGTAATTTTACCCAAAATACTTCTCTTTAGATTAAGCTAAGCTAACAAGAATTTACAAAAACATTCTAACTTAAGGCTTCTATAGCCTGTAGAAATTGCTGCTAAAATCGAGCAAAGGTTCGGTTGAAAAAGGGGTAGGTTCGACTGAACCGTGGGTAGATTCAATCGGACTCCCCTGCACTTGGTTCGAACGAACTCTAAGAAGTTTGATAGAAACTATAAATGTAAGAAAACTTCCTAAGTTTCTTCCCTTTTCGGCCGTTTGACCAAACTTTTCAACACTTCATTCGGACCTCATGGTCCGGCAAACTATTGAGAAGTTCGGTAGAAGCTCAAGCATGAGGCTTCCCGTCTAATCTTATCCTTTTCTCTTTGCCCCTTTGTCTTCATTTATGCTTCTAAGCTCGGCCAAGGAGCCCTCTCAGTGCTTAGGATCACTATGGAACCTACAATGAGACAATAAAGATTACAAAATCGAGGGAACGATGAAAGAATACATCAAAATCATTAAAAAAAATGTAAATAAGTAAATCTTTCATCAAACACACAAGAAAGCCATGAGAGAAAATGAGATAGAAAAACCCAAGAAAATAAGAGAATATAAGCCTAAACACTACCCCTAAATAACACAATCCAGCCTTCAGTTTTTAGGAGAACTTGCTATGTTTCTTGCTATTGTTTAAAGGTTTTCAAAGCTTGTTAGTCGGTTGTGATTTACTAAAATTACATTTAGAATTTTTCAAAGCACTTTAAACAAGGGCGAAAAACTACCTTGAACATCAAGGAAATATATGCTTCATAATATGTCTTTTGAAAGCTCGGGACATCATCTAACCAATGCAAGTGATTTGACTAGAATCACAATTAATTTGGTTAGTTCACAAATCAACCAAAATTGTCGATTAGGTCGGCTTGTATAGTTTCCTAATCTAAGAAGATTTACCAATTTCTTTGCATATTAAATTAGGGAAAATTTTCTTAATTTTATGAGGATTCCAAATGAGGCTCTCTATTATTAATAGTGGCTTAACATTCCTTGTAAAGATCGAATATAATAATTGAAATAAAAATTTCAAATTTTGTTTTATCTTATGCAATCACAATTCTTTGCATGAGCTATTTTTATGTACTCGTAGTATTTAGCTGATACGGATGTGTAGTGAAGATTAATAGGTCGAAAAACTTAGTTCCAAGAGGTGGTCTAAGTAATTTCACAATTCAAAGTGATCATTACATGAGGTGGTGATACTTGTTTGAAATATCGGTTCGTTTCTTCACACTTGTGCTTCAATAACACTTCAAGGAAAGTTAAAAATCAAAGCTTTATTTCAAGATTGTTGAATTTCTAAAACTTAACTAAATAGCAGGTTAGGATACACATCCAAGTGTTGTCGGGTTGTTGCTTAAGATTTCTTATTATCTCCCATGCATTTCTCTTGATTTCAATATCAGTCTACACATACAAATTTCTTTATTGTATGATTTTTGTATTTATCATTTTACTTGTTGACACACTAAAGATTATGATAGGAGCAAATCTAAGTTCAACAAATTAATGAAAGTAGTTTGCCTTAAGTTCGGTTTTATAAAAATATTACATCACTATTTCTTCTGCATAATTTTGTATTCACGTACAAACCTACTTACACCATACTCCGTATTTTACACCATTCAAGGCAACTTCAAAAACTATGTGAAGTCAAATTGATGCAATTAAAATTAAACCAATGCCCCAAGAAAATAAATAAATAAAAAAAAAAAAACCTTAACTGATCTAATGAGTCATAAAGCCTAATCAAATTAATCAAGTCCTACCTCTGATCCTTGAAAATTTGGAATTCCAATCCCTTTTTGGACCATTGCGCAGTCCTAGCAATAACCCAATAAGGCCCTGTTCTTTTGAATTTCTGGGCAGAGTAGAGCAGAGCAGGGGTCAGCAAAGCAGAGCAGATTTCAGAATAGAGCCGAGCAGAGCAGAGCCGAGTAGAGCAGATTTCAACATTATTGTTATTGTTATTGTTATTATTGTTGTTGTTGTTGTTGTTGTTGTTGTTATTATTATTATTATTATTATTATTATTATTATTATTATTATTATTATTAAGTGCATATACGATTTAGGTGAGTGAAAACATAAATATATGTGTACCATATTTAACATATGTTAATAGTAGAAAGATAAAAGACAATGATTTACTTATATTTATTTCACAAAAATTTTAAAATAAAATTATTTAATGAGTACTAATGATTTTACTTATAAATTTGTCTTAATCATATATTTTTTACCTTAAAAAAATAATAATAAACAAAGTACTACTTGAAAACAACCTCTTTTTTTTAGAATCTTAAAATGTATGGAAAGAATTGAAAAATAATTCAATTCAATGAACTACAATCAATACCCACATAAAATGTTTCTACACATTGTGATTCTAATATCAAATGTTTATAAAATAAATTGTTATTAATTGTTATTGTTATTATTATTATTATTATTTATTTATTTGAAAGAATTGTTAAAATTATTAGAAATTATCAATTAATAATATTATTAAATATTAATTCTTAATAGTTTGAATTATTATTATTATTATTGATAATTATTATTATTAATTATTATTACGATTAATAAATATTAATTTTTATTAATATTAATAATTATTAAAATTATTTTTAATATTAATAATTATTATAATTATTCAAAATAATAAATTAATATAATCAATACAATATTAATTATTATTATTGAATATTAATTATTATTGTTGTTATTATTAATTATTATTTGAAAATAGAGCAGAGCAGAGCCGGACACTTCTTTTGAGCAGAGCAGAGCAGAGTCGAGCAGAGCAGAGCCGAACACTTCTTTTGAACAGAGCAAATTTGATTTGAGTAGAGCAGCTCTAAAGAAGAGAGCCTAAGTCCCATGTTAATTGGGCAAACAAGCTGCACTATTTTTTGGCCTTCCAACAATAATTTTGATTATTATCAGTTAAATTGATCATTTTTATGCTTTCAAAGTCAAATTTCCCCACTTTTGACTTTTCTGGACAAAAGTTCGTTGGAAAGCTCCTACAGAGATTGCTTCAACAAACTTTGCTTTGTTCATTGTTAAGATAAAATTCTAAAGCTTCATCCTAGTGAACAAATTTTGTTCACTTGTTAGTTTGTTACCATCTATTTAAACCTAACTCTAAACGGCGGTATAAACAAGTAAATAAAAATGCGTTGCAAAGAGTTGAACATAAAGTTGCTCTAGTTTGATACAGGTATTGACCAGAATCATGACCATTTATGTTTGCAGATACATGAAAGTTTCTGTAATTGAAAAAGATCAATGCACATCCACCATGCATTAAAAATACGCTGGAAAGAAATGATTGCAAAGAAATGATCAATGACGAGCATTTGTGAAAACTTTTTAGTTAATATTAACATTGTAATTTGTAAGATACCATTGAATTGTTTTGTTCCTAATGCCACAAATATAAAGCCAACAACAATGAATAAATGTCAAAATCTTAGTATCCTGGAATATGCTGCTAATAAGATTTCCCACAAAAGGAGATCAAAACAAAATACGGGTACCATAAATCTGAAAAGAATACCCCAACCAATTCCGTCAAAATCAGCACCGTTTTTTCAGCCAGAAAACAATTCACCATCAGTTGAAATCATATTTAACGTGTCCAAGGTATAAGCCGCAAGCAGGAGCCATGGGACTTGCAGCAGTAACGGATCTTGCATTCAGGATACATTTCACTGATGATAATTTATCATATTAGTCTCAGAATTAACCCTTACAGGCCTCATACACAAAGTGAAAAAAAACAGGAAACAGTTAACAAGTTAAAGTAAATCAAACAGAGACACACACACACACGGAATCAAAAATGAAGAAAAGAAAAAACTAAAAGTTTTAAGGTAAAGAAAGATCAAGGAGAAAGAGATTCAAATGTATAACCAAGTACAAAAAACACACCATCAGCAACTGTTATTTGTCCTGTGCCAACACACTTGAGAACACCAACGAGCAACCTCACCTGAACAGATTAGGCATATCCATGAACACAAATAATTAGAAAAAAATTTATTAAAGATTCATGTCATGGTGTAGAAGCAGTCTACATAGGCCATTTTCTTTTTTAAAAAAGTTCAATCCAAGAATATAATATAGGGTTTTTCTATATAGTAACCCTGTTAATTTCACTTTTCTACGTTGTGCCCCAACATATATAGCTTTCCACACTGTAACCCCAATATACATTTTGTTTTCATACGATAACCCTGCCGTTATAAATTCCATTAGTGGAGCTCACTCTCAATTTATTAATATTTTTTATCGATTTGCGTGTTGGAAAATGTTCCATTAAAGGTTTTCGGGGCTATTTAGGCAAAAAAAATAACTTAAATGCCTCGTTTTGCTTATTAAGTAATGTTTCGATTTACGCGTTCACGTTTTAATACTTATAACGAGGCATTTACATTTTTTTTTTTGTGAAATCTGAGTTCAATCTGGACCCTTAAGAGCCAAAATAGCCCCCCAAAACCTTTAACGGAACATTTTCCAGCGAGCATATTGATTAAGAAAATATTAATAAATTGAGAGTGGGCCGCACTAACGGAATTTTTGACGGCGGGATAACGATAATGTTACCGTATGGAAACAAAATGTATATTGGGGTTACAGTGTAGAAAGTGATATATGTTGGGGCACAACGTAGAAAAGCGAAATTAACAGGATTACTATATAGAAAAACCCTATAATATAATATTAAATGGTTTACTGAGATTTAGGGTAACACATTCATGAATTTATTTTACTTAGAAAATGTAGTCTGGTTTTCATATAACTCTTGCTACTTTTCAAATAACCTTCAATACTATTTCCTATCTATCCTTCCCCTCTAGCTGCTGGGTTCACTCATTCCTATGAAGTTTTAATATTAATTTTTGTTCATATATACACTTCACATGACTTTCATTAGCAGTAATATTACAAGTCTTCACAGAACCACAGGTAAGGGGTAAAGGATACCAGCATAACGTAACACTGCTCATTCTCTTTGACATTTGCATTGCCAATGATCATATATACACAGGACTTAATAAAAAGACATTCATAAATTTTTATCAATGTCGTCATAGCTTTCATGTTAGGCATAAAGCTAGATTATTGGTGCAGCTTCCAGAAAGCTTCTGTTGTATACATAAATGCATATTAAGGGAAACTAAAGAGAATGCACCCACCAAATCCCCCCTCGAAAGATTCTGAAAATTTTTAAAAAAAAAAAAAACCAACCTGATGATATAGAAAGGAGCGTGAACGTGCTTTAACTACCAAGCAACGGTGTCCTCTCCTAATTCCAAACTGTTGACAAGATTCAGTGAGCTCTTCTCCATTATTGTTTGGAGAATCCTGAACACTGATATTACACTGCTCTCTCTCAACAAAGGATGGAAAATACGGAACAGAAACAGATTCGGTGACATGAAGCTCATCTAATGTTCTAATGGGAGACTTAGCCTGTAATATTGAAGAAAAGCAGCAATTAATAAAATAAGTGTTATCGTGAAAACTGAAAACACAATATAAAAGAAATTCCTTTTAATAAATTTTTTAGTGCCAAAACAGATGATACAAGTTTTTTGCAACAAAAAATAAATCCCTTTTCACGTAAATTTACCAGCAAACCCTTACTTTCAATTCTTTCAACACATTAAACCATATATTATTAACTTATTAACCTAACTTAATCATCCCTCAATAAAAACTCTAACCCAGCTCTCCTCCCTCGCACCAACATTTTCTCTCTCTTCTCTCTCAAGCCACCCTCACCACCACTTTTCTCTTTTCTGTCACAGCCACCACCACCATATTTTCTCTCCCCTCCCTCACCACCACCATTGATCATTGTCTCTTCATCAATTGGGATTAGTGCCACTTCCTCCTCCCCCATAACAGTCGTCACCGCCGCCCCTCAACATTAAATTGGGTCACCGCCGGGATCCTCTCTCTTCTTTTTTGTTTCTACAACACAATTAAAACTTAGGGTTGAGGTTTTTATTGTTAAAATTTGACCATGAACACTCTAGACAAACTTGACCAAATAAACCATTAAATGATGATGGAAAGGTAATAATTTCCAATTTTGATCTTTTTTCTATAGGGTGGTTAGTGGTGGTTTGGAGAGAGGGGCTGAGTGGTGGCTGGTTTAGGGGAGAGGGAGAGTGAGTGGAGGTGGTGGTGGTTTTGAGCGGGGAGAAGGAGGGTGAGTGGTAGTGGTTTCGGCTGAGGAGATGGATGGTAAGTGGTGGTGGTTTCGAGGAGAGGGCAAGTGGTTGGTAGTGATTTCAGGGAGAAGGGAGGATGGTTGGTTGTTGTTTTGGGGAGGAGGGTGGTATTGGTGGTTAGAAGGGTGGATGGTGGTGGCAGGGTGGTGTTGAGAAAGGGTGGGTGTTTGAATTAGGTGGATGTTCCAATGTATAAAAAAGCTCAAGGCGCACTGAAGCAAGAGGGGTTTGGCTGCGCCTAGGTGCGCTTCTTTGAAATGAGGCGCAGTATATGGGCAGTCAAAAAAAAAAGTTTGCTTCAAGTGCGCCTCATGTGTGCCTCGAGTGTGCCTCGTGCACTTTTGGTGCACCTCAAGCGCATTGTTTGCGCCTAACCCAAAACACCTCGCCCAGACTAAATTAACTAATTAAGCGCTCACCTTGGTGCAAGTGAAAGGGTACAGGTATTGGTGGTGGTTGCCCTTATTTTATTAATTATCCTCATTCTCCCTCCTAAACCTCAATCACAAACCTTTGTTGGAAATGTGTCATTAATTTTGTTGCACAAAATAAGATATAGAGGTAGTATATATAAACAAAACATTTAAGTCTATAATAAAGGGCTATTGGTAGTATAAAAAAGAGTATTGTATATAATTAAAGGGATTTGAATCTTTTGCTACTTAAGAATACAATATACAATTAAGGGGGTACCAATAGTTTTAAAAGGGGCATAGTGTTCAATTAAACGGTTAATACTATCGACTATTTTCAATCATATCAACTGTCATTTAAATCTTTAAATCATGGTAAGTTTCAGGAATAAGATACCATATAGACCTAAAACAAGTAACATAATAAGAGCCCTTTTGCCATAATTGAATCAAAATTAGTGCCAAAGTAAACAATATTTTTCATTATTACTTAAATATAAGAAATTCAACCCCTAAAATTTATTTTCACGATTTTTATGATTGCCTTAAAGAGGAGAAATATTGGTTGCATAATATCATCTCCTAATACTTAATAGGCTCGTTGGTCTTGAGATACACGACATGCTTACATAATTTCTTGCAATACCCCCTTAATTACACAATACTCCTTGTTAAACTACCAGTGTCCCTAATCTTGAATATTTAGTATTTTCAATCTTCATTGTTAGACTTGTTTTCAGCGTATACGATATACACTTTCACCGAAACATAGTTTTAGGTAAATCAATTCACTATAATATAATAGGAAATTTTGGTAAAAAAAAATTTAAAAAAAATAAAAAATAAAAAAAACTTTTAAAAGCACCATTTTGCGAAAAAATACCTTTTAAAAGCTTTTTTATTAAAGAAAATCACCATGTTCATATTTTTTGCAAAAAGAAACCTGTTTACTTAATTAAACTCTAGTTTACTTAATTACTCTCTAATTTCTTCTAATTACCCTCTAACCCACATAATTATTTAATTATATTTAATTTATAAAAAAAAATAATAAAAAAAAAAAAAACCAACACACCTAACCACCAGCCAACCACCCCCATCTAAACCCGCCACCCAGGCGTTCTACCTCCACCGGCGACCGACCCTTTCTTTCCCCCTTATCCCCGCCGGCGACCACCTGTCCCGATGATGCGGATGCATTCAACGTTTCCTTTCTTGGTCCGTTTCTTTAATGTTTCTTAGATTAGATTTTGGCTTACAAGTTTTTACCTTTCACTTGAAAGGGTTTTTCTTGTTTTAAGCATTAGGATTTCTATTTTGATTAGGAATTGTTTTCTAATTTGATTAGGTTTAGGATTAGTTTTGAGTCTATAAATAAAGGTTGTAAACTTCAAATTATACAAGTTTGTTTTGTTGATTAAAGCTTTATTGCTTGTTAATTTGGAACGTTTCTTTCCAAGTTTTCTTTGTGTTTGACGAGTGAAGTTAAACATAAAAACCCTTAGATTAGGCGAGTGAAACCTGATTTAAGAGAGGTTAGATTAATTAGTGAGTGAAGCTAATTCAAACTATCCTCAAAAAACCCCTAAATCACGAGATTAAGGTGAGTGAAGCCTTGAAATCAGATTTAGAACCCTTAGGCGAAAACAAACGAGTGAAGCTTGTTTAAACCTAAGACCAAACGAATCAAGAAACGCATCAAATGGTATCAGAGCTTTTGGTGTGATTATTGAGTCGTTATATCCTTGTTCTTGAGCAATCAAGAATCAATTCGTGCTAGTTTCTTGGTTCTTGTTCTTCTCGGCGCAGATCTGGACCAGTTGGAAGTTTTAGGTTACTGCGAACTATATACTTGGTATTTTTCGGTGATTCTTTTTTGGTTGGATTCCTATTGGACTAAAATTATAGACTGTAAAATTTCGTGGTCATTGGATAAGTGACGCAAAATCTACAGCAACAAACATTCAAGAGAAGATTATTGATTGTGCGCAAATATGGTGAGCAAATCAACGGAAACTCACTTGCTTGAAAAGATGGCTTCTTTGATGGAACAAAACATTACTTTTATGAATCATATGAAAGGTCTTGAAGGGGATCATTATGATACATCTCAAGTGCTACTTGGTGAAGGCGTTTGTGCTTCTCTTAGTGCAAAAGATCTCGTTCCTTGTTATGATGTAACTTGAGGACAAGTTCGTTTTCAAGAGGGGGAGTATGATGCGGATGCATTCAACGTTTCCTTTCTTGGTCCGTTTCTTTAATGTTTCTTAGATTAGATTTTGGCTTACAAGTTTTTACCTTTCACTTGAAAGGGTTTTTCTTGTTTTAAGCATTAGGATTTCTATTTTGATTAGGAATTGTTTTGGTCTAGTGAGTTCCTATTTGAATTAGGACTTGTCTTTAGCAAAAGAGATTCCTAATTGGATTAGGACTTGTTTTTAGCAAAGTAAATTCCTAAGTGGATTAGGACTTGACTTTGGTTTTTAGGCGTGTCTAGGAGTTTTAGGAGGACTGAATAACCTAATCTAAGTTGAATTAAGCTTAGTTAGTTTAGTCATATCCGAATTAGGAACTTGGGGATCAAGTTTCGGTTTTCTTAGGTTTTCTAGGTCAAATGGGATTCTAATTTAATTAGGATTAGTTTTCTAATTTGATTAGGTTTAGGATTAGTTTTGAGTCTATAAATAAAGGTTGTAAACTTCAAATTATACAAGTTTGTTTTGTTGATTAAAGCTTTATTGCTTGTTAATTTGGAACGTTTCTTTCCAAGTTTTCTTTGTGTTTGACGAGTGAAGTTAAACATAAAAACCCTTAGATTAGGCGAGTGAAACCTGATTTAAGAGAGGTTAGATTAATTAGTGAGTGAAGCTAATTCAAACTATCCTCAAAAAACCCCTAAATCACGAGATTAAGGTGAGTGAAGCCTTGAAATCAGATTTAGAACCCTTAGGCGAAAACAAACGAGTGAAGCTTGTTTAAACCTAAGACCAAACGAATCAAGAAACGCATCACCCGAAACCCTAACTAGAATTTCACCTTCAAGATTATTAGCACTCACATTCAACCCTTGCAACTGACTTAAGCAAAACATTTCCGCCGGAATCTCGCCAGAAAATTGATTTTTCTGTAAGGAAAGCTTGTGAAGCATCTTCAAGTTTCCAATTGCCGGTGGTACTTTCCTGGTGAACCTATTACTAACAAGTCAAGCTCGCCGATGCAACCACCAGTCATCTCTGCCGGAAGCTCGCCCAAAAACCTTGGCCAACTCGGCAAGTTAAATATTCCAGCGGGAATCTCCCGAGAGAGCTTATTATTTGAGATTCAAAGCTGGACTACCCTTCCCCTTCCCTAACATGGACAGCCCTCTCCCTTCCCTTCCACCACCATAAAACAATCCCTGTTTTCTCTCTCCTCTCTTTTTAACCATTGTTAAACGTTAATTATGGAGAATTGTGGTCGTTGGTGGTCGATTGGGGCACAAACAGAGCTGGATTAGATGGCGAATTGGGCTGCTGGGTTGGTTGAGGGAGGAATTGCTGCTGTGCGGTTGCTGGTGTAAGGTGGTGGCAGTAGTATGCGGCAGCTGTGCTGTTGGGGCTTAAGTGAGAAGAGAGGGAGCAACGGGCAGGGATGGTGGCGAGGTATTGTTGGGCTGGAGATGGAGCAGTGGAGGCTGCTGCGATGGAGGTGCAAAGGTGGTGAATGGTGCGGCAGTATCCTAATTGTTGTTAGGGGAGGAAGAAAGGGAGGTTGGCTGCTAGCTGGTGGTAAAGGTGGTGATTTTTGTTTATTTTTTAAAATAAATTAACTAAATTATTAAATGATTAAGTGAGAGCTAAAGGGTAATTAAAAAAATTAGAGGTTAATGAAGTGAATTAGAGGGATTAGGTTGTCTTTAACAAAAAAATTCACATTCGGGTTTTCTTTCGCAAAATGGTGCTTTTAAAAGTTTTTTTTTTGACAAATTTTCCAAAGATGAGAGTAGGGCAGGTAATGTATTAAAAAATTGTAAAAGAAAATAGTGGAGTTAATAGTTTATTGAAAAGTAATGTATGAAAAAAATAATGAGAAAAAAAAAAGGTAGTCCCTCCGTGTTTTTTTAAGTGTTAACACTTTCCATTTTCAATCGTGTTTTTTTAAGTGTTATACTTCCTTTTTTGGTTCAAGGCTACATTAAAATATTATATATTTCTCCTCTCATGGTTCCCACCCAAACCTATTACTACTTTTTTTATTATATCTTTTCTCTCACATTCATTACTTTTCAATAAACTATTAACCCCACTATCTTTCTTTTACAATTTTTTAATACTTCAACTACCCCACTTACCTCTTATTTTATTTAAGTCAATTAAATTGCCTAAAACTATGTGCCGGTCAAAGTGTAACACTTAAAAAAACACGGAGAGAGTAACGAGTTTGAATGGGGACCATGAGAGGAGAGAAATATAATACTTTCTCCATTTTTTTAAAATTGTACCATTTAGGTTGGGCACAAAGAACAAGGATTAAATAAAATCACAAAAATGCCCATGTGACTACAAACAAAACAACGAGAGTAGGTAAATACCACATGAGAATAAGAATAAGATGGGTATTTGGTGTGTGAACATAAACAAAAAGTGTATAAAAGCATACCAAAAATAGAAATGGTGCAATTAATATGCAACTTCCAAAAAAGGAAAATGGTGCACTTAAAAAAACGGAGGAAGTATTACAATATAGTTTGTCAAAAATGGCCGATTTTAGTAAGTTTAACACTTAATAAAAAGAGAGAGGAAGTATATGGTATCCTTGTACAATCTGTACTATTCTGCTTTTCCAGTCAATAAATGCAGGTGAAACATGCTGTAGAATTTTTGTTTTGGGAAATTTTATCAATACTAGTCAACACATAACAAGTTTGACATGAGCAATATGATCCAACTTTTTGAGGGAAGGGTTCCTGAAGCTGGTTGATGATAATATGTTAAATTTAATTCATACAAAAAAGACCAACACCAGTTCCTTGCTTCTACACTAAAAATTATAGAAAGAAAAAAAAAATTGTGTTAACAGAAAAACGTACAGTTCACTAATATGCTTGAGGTGAAGTGTGTACAATCTACATCACCTCAAAGTATAAACAATGAAGCTAAATTGCAATAGATGACAGTCAGAAAAAAGCAACTACATGAAGCAAACTAAGACATTCAGGTTCAGTTGAGCATCCATTCTAGCAAAAGTTAACCAAGTCAAACCTATGTCCATAATGTTGATGAATTTGTACATTACTTGGAACATCTGGGCAATCCCAGGAAAACATTACAGGGAATTTATCAGAAAAATTACCGATCTGTTAAATACACTAATGAGAATGAGAACCATGAAATTAGTGATTATTCAAGGTTGTAATTGTTCTGTGGGGGCATAAAGAGATAATTTTAACAGATATGTATTGCCCTGTAACACAATGCATGACTTTGAACTATCAAGTGTCGAGAAGGGAGAATGAACCTGACAACCAGCAGCCCTGAATGAACTGAAATCATGGTGTCCAACAAGAACCTTGCATGCTTCCTATTGAAAAAGAAGATATCACAATTAAAGCACTCTAAAACATTAATATTAATAAAAAGACAACCACTTCAAAGTTCAAACCGACCTGCATAGTTTGAAGGTTTAGTTCCTCGGGAACATGCCACGCCCGATCTCTCTCAAATGTTGACAGTGATTCTTGACCTGATAGCAAGCGATAATAATACCTACATACAAAATTAGAAAAAACTCAGATTTACAATTTCACACAGAACATTACAAGTCTTCAAATAATGAAAGCCAGTTACATTGAATGCCATGACAGCTTTAGATCTTCTTCAATGTTTATCTGCTTGCTGGAAAAGCCCTGGAAGAATGCTAAACAGGAACCTAAAGCAACCTTTACTATAGAGGCACAGTTTATAGCATGTTTGAAGAATCTAATCATGCATTATAGTTGCAGAAAGTTGCCACTATTAATTGTAGATGGTATTGAAAGACCTCTACAGAAATTAAGCGACAACATACATACAGTGTTACTGTTTAATAACAACAAGCACTCATCAAAGACAAACATATTGAAATTAAGTTCCATGTTAAAGAAAAGAGTTTAGACAAGAAAAGGTGTCTATGGAACATATGCGAACAAACTCTATGGTTGTGGATTCCCTGAAAAAGAGATTAACACCAAAGGTCTTTTGTGAGCGTATTGCTGATATGGGTGTAATGTTCAGGTCTATTGGAAACTTGGTTTTTTGATAACTCATGCCATAGACACGATTATTATCTTTGGATAATAGTTTTCTCAATTTAAAAAGTTTGAGTTTATGGTTCACTCTAGTCTATTTTGCTATGATCTCCCAAAACAGAAAAGTTGGACTAGTTGGAAATTGGCAAGTTAAGATCACTTTAAATGAAATTTCCATTCAGAAAAACTGGGACCTGATTCGATCAGACAACTGTGATGCGGTAAATAGCTTCTTTAATGGAGTTCATTGTTTGGGAGGAGAAGAGTAGAACGTTCATCACTTTTATTTCTAAGAAACGCAACGCCAGTAAAGTGAAGCAATTCCGACCTTTTGGATTGTGCAATACAGTTTAAAAGTAATTTAAGATCTTTGTTCACAGAATGATGCTAATCATTAGGGAGATTGTAAGAAAATTTCAAAATGCTTTTGTCCAGCAGGGTAGACTCATGGCTGAAAACAACACATTAGCTCATGAACTGGTGGACTGGATTAGACATTAAAAAAAATATCGGAAATGATTTTGCAGCTGTGAATTTGTAAGAAGGGACTTTTTTTAGAGAAAGTCCAACAGAGAATGAACTTCCCAAAGTGGGTCAACAGGCTAATGCACTGTGTCCACAAATTCCTATTCAATACAATTCTGGTGAACAGAGAATCAACATGGCTGGTTCAATAGCAAGTGGGACTTAGACAAGGGTACCCATTATCACCACACGTCTTCGTTGTTTACATGGAAGCCCTATCAAGTGAGCCTTAGACATGAAGAGCCTAGAATCAATATCTGATCAAAGCTGCTGGCAATACTTCATCACGCATTGACAAAACCTGCAGCTCTCTTGGATAGGAAGTTAAAACAGGCACTAAGAATGCAATATCGCCATGTCGGCCATCCGATATCCTAATTTCGTGGAGCGGACATTAAGAACCTAGAGATACATATCAATCACGTATGACTCTAATAAGTAATAACCTTAATTATTTTTGTTGTCAAGTTCCTAGAACGATTGTGCTAAAGACCATAACCTAGCAACATCTACTTGGAGAAAGGCCTAGTTTTCTTCTTTCTTTACAAAATGAAAAAATAAATAAATAAATAAATAAAAATGAAATTTAGACAAAGCTTGAAGTAGATCTAGAATTATCCAGCATAATTGAAATCCATTAGCAACTTCTAAAGAAAGAGTATCAATAGTTAGTAATCAATAGGGAGTTTCCTGCCAGGAAGGGGTTGCCAAAACAATTTCAAAGCTGCATCTGAAATATTGCATTCTACTGGTAACAAAGCTTGGTTTGCTTTTAAGATAGATTTGGAAAAGGCTTATAATAGGTTGGAGTGACCTTTTATTAGGAAATGCCTTGCTAAGAATGGAATTGATAAAGACACTTGTGATCTAATCATGAGTTGTGTTTCCTCCTCTTCCTTTCATGTCATGATAAATGGTAGGCCCACAAAAACATTCCATGCCTCTAGAGGAATAAGACAAGTAGACCCCTTATCTCATCATCTGCATGGAATACCTCTCCTCTTTGATCCAAGAAGCCTGTGATGAGAGCACATGGACTCCCTTCCAATTCAAAAGAAATTATGTGGCCATCTCACACCTAATGTTTGCTGATGACCTGATCCTATTTGGGGAAGCATCTCAAAAAACCTTAAAGACTCTGTAACTAATATCCTTAACACCTAATCTATCTCTAGTCAGAAAATGAACAACTCCAAGAGTTAGCTTTATTTTTCAAGAACTTCAATGTTTCCCCTAGCTCTGACTTAGGTACCTACCTTGGATTCCCTCTCACTGATAAGAGACCCACCCCAAACCAAGTAAGCTACATTGCTAGAAACATGGCCTCAAAATTGTCAACTTGGAAATCCAAAACCCTGTCCAAAGCCAGTATTCCCCAATATGCCATGCAAGCCATTTCCCTCCACTCCTCTGTTTGTAAGAAGATTGAACAAATTTGCAGTAGATTCTTTTGGGGATCCACTCATGAACACAAGAGATGCCACATGATTGGATGGGACAGCATCTGCACTAACAAAGACCTTGGGGGCTTGGGGTTTAGAGTTTCTAAGCTTCAAAATAAGACCCAACTTGCAAAACTTTGTGTCACTCTGACTCCTTAGCTACCACCATCATCAAAACAAAATATTGTTCAAGGACAAATCTAAACTCTTTCAAGTATGGATCTAATATCTGGAAAGGTATGGGTAAAGGGTGGGAGGTGTTTCAACTTTTCACTCAATGGTCCATTGGGAGTGGGAATCAGTGCCTCCTTTGGGATCACAGCTAGAGAGGGCATGGTCCTCTAAGATCCTTAATCCAAGGGCCCCTGATGCAACATGAGGAAATGAAAACCCTGAATAATTAGTGATGCTGAATGGAATTTACAAAACCTCAGCGTAGCTATCTCTCCCCACATCCAACAACTAATCATATCTACTCCCTTCACAAGGGGGGTGACTTCCCCTTCTGATCCCTCTCAAAGGGCAATTTTTTTGATGCAAGCCAAGCTTACTCCCACCTCTGGCAAAGGTTGAATGCCAATTCAGCCCCCCAAATTCCATGGGATAAGATGTGGAATTGAAACCTCCCTCCACAATCAAAATTGTTCCTGTGGCAATGTTTGTGGGACAGACTTCCAACATGCAAGAACCTCTTTTTTAAACACATCACCCCTTCTCAGTATTGCTTTTACCTTGGCATCATTGAGGATGGCATCCATGTGCTAAGGGATTGTATAAGATCAATGGAAATCTGGAGAATGGCAAATCCCCCTACAAAGTTTGACCAAACTGACATTCAATCCTAGATTGTGCATAACATTAAGCATAATTCCCCGCACCTACGTGGGATACCATGGAGCTTCTCCTGTCATGAAGAAAATTTGGCTGAGAAGGAATGACTAGATCTTTAATAAGAAATCCAAACCCTTACAAAGCTTCTGGGTCACCACCATTCACTCCATCAAAGAACTCTTCTACTTTTCAAACACCAATTCTCCACCAACCATCCCCAAGAACCCATCCCTCATACTAGCTTGTATTCGTAGGACTTATTCTGGGATTTGGATCCAGGGTCTAGAAGGACATTGCTTAGCTCCTAATTCTTATATGGCTGAACTCTATGCTATCTTAGCTGCTTTAAATTGGGCTAGGGAGAATTCTTGGATGAACATTCTTATTCTCTCTATCAACAGGCTATCAATAGTATTTGTGATACTCATTTTTCCCTGATGAAGGCCATCTATTTGTGATAGACTTACAGAAGAAAACTGTAGCTCTTTTGGCCAGAAATGGCATGACTATTTGGGTGTTGCGTCGCCAATCTAACTCCTAATGTCTATGCTTTTGCCTATGTATACTTTCTTGCTACCTCAGAGGGGTAATATTATTGCTAATCAAATTCTGATCCTTTTCACAAAAAAAAAAAAAAAAAAAAAAAAAAAAAAAAAAACACTATTTTATACTACCTCCGTTTCTTTTTAGTTCACACGTATTCCTATTTAGGAAGTTTTTTTTTAGTTGACACGTTTCCTTTTGGGGTAACTTTTTTACCTTATATTTACAAGCTACCCCACTTGCTTTTTCATTCTCTCACTTTCTCCTCTCCTTAATAAATGTGCCTAAATCAAACGCGTCAACTAAACAGAAACGGAGGAAGTATTAAGGTTTCTATAGCATGCATATACTATTTCATATACTCCCTTCATTCCTTCTTTTGTTCTACTTCGATCTCCTTTAGGGTGCTCTATTTTTCTTTTTGTTCTACCCCTTTTAATTTTATACATATAAATATTTAATAACGTGTACATGCAATTCCATATACTCCCCACAATACCTACTTTCTATTATGAGTATTCTATTTTTATCTACCCAATCTACTTTATCTAATTTATTATACACACTTTTTACCATCTTACTCGCTCCCCTACCCCGTAATCTGTTCTTTACACACACCCACTTATGCTCTCTTCATATTAGAGGGGCACCAAATATTCAGACATGCCATGTATTGTTCCTAGGTTATAGTTCTCGACATCAAACAGACACATACACCACACATAAATGGATTGAAACAAAATATTGTCATACTTTAAAAAGAGTAATTAATTAAAAAAAATTATCTAATTCACTCAAATTGAGTAAAAAGATAGGCATAAAAAAATACCTACGTGCGCTCTTGAGCCTTATATCTGGCATGAAAATCAGAGGGAACACTACGTACATCAATAACCATTATGTCACCTTCTTTCTGCCACACATTGTAGAATGTAATCAGTACTATTGGACGAGCATAAAAGCTAGAGGCAAGAAGAAAAAATGTTGAATATAAATAAATGATAGTAGGTGACTGACATAATAGCTGTTAGGAAAAACAATAAAAAAAACTCACCTTATGAAAAATAAAGCAAGTGATCAATTGAATATTTGTTAGACTATTCCTCTTTGCATCATAGTGTATATCATTTAAGGTGACAATATTAGCGACACTCATCAGAATTCACAACATCTAAGAAACTTATCACCTCTCTCAGACTCTAGACTCTAGACTCTAGACTCTAGACTCTCTCTGCCTCTAAATTAACCAATTGAAATAAAATATCAACAATCAGATACCACGAATTACCAAAAAAAAAAAATTGTATTTTCAGGGTGAAGTGAGAACACTAATACACGCTTTTAGCACAATCATTAGGAAACATAATTCCTTTTTTGTATATTATACGAGTAAATTAAATGTTGACCATTTGTATTTTAGATTGCCTAATCAATATTACAAAACTATGTTGATTCATTATATTCAAATATACTTAAAATTGTGTTTAAAAGTAGAAAAATTCATAATATCAATAATCAATTAGATACAAATGATCTAAAACTATCCTACTCATGTAGATTACAGAAAGCCCAAAGGGTGAAGTAAGAGCACTAACATAAGCATTCAACAGAATCATTAGGATGCATCATTCCTAATTTATAAGATTGTCAAAGGACCTGTATGAGAATCAATAATCAGTTAATCATCCATTTTCCTCACTAAACAATTGACGAAAAATATATATATCTTGGAAGCAAAAGAAGATACACAAAAAAAAAAAAAAAAAAATAAAAAAAATAACACTTTGTTTAGATAAGAGGGAATGGGTAGGATATTCCATTCCTCGTTAGTAGACACCAGCCCTCTAAAATTGAAGGGATTAGGAGGAAAAACACTCCCCCTCCCCCTCCCCTTCCCCTTCCCCTTCCTCCTCTTTCCCTCTCCTTTCTAACCCTTTTATCTAGCTATCCACACAAAGTGAAAAGGATAAGATACAAATTTCAATTTCAATTTCCCTCCTTTCAAAAAGTGGTTCTATATCTAGATAACAAAGTGAACCAATTCCAAAATAAAAACTGTGTCATGGACAATTTTTGGTCTCATATGATCCCTTGATCCCTTGTCTGATCAACTGTTTGTTAAAAGCCTTGGATTCAGTTAGGCGATATGAAATATATTACTTTGTATTATCGATTCACTATTATCTATGAAGAAAATATTATTCAGTTAGAAAAAGTTTTATTTGTGTGAATTACTGAAATTGTCAAGAAAAGAAATTTATATTTTATTATGAGTGTGTTATGAACTTATCTTGTATGAGGATGCATTGTCTTGATTGAAATAATTTAAATCAAGATGAACCATACAGGGCCTAACGTGTCTGTTGCCTTCTTATACTTATTGGCGTTGTTTCAGGTATCATAATCCACACAATGTCCACAAGAGCTTGCAGACATTCGTAAGCTAGAGGGAAAGTTTATCCATTTAACATCTCATTCAAAAGCTGGAAAAAGGTGAAGGACAAGAGGGCTTATCGTGTGTTGACCACAAGACATGAACAGTCCTTTGTACAGTAAAATACAATGGTAATAATAAATATATATACTTTGTATAAAACTAATGTACAAACCACAAATTTCTTTATAATAAAAAAGTCTGAACAGCATTAAGTTACCTGTAAAAAATGGTTCACAGCTCTTCTAACAACAGAAGGTTCGTGCGGTTGCAACTATATAAAGAAACAACAAAGAATTTGCATATCAATCAGAAAAGGATTTATAATAGATTTGAAACACAGTTAACGGGTTAAAACAAAAGATCAAGTGAAGAGATGAATGGGAGGAAAGGGGAGGGGAATGCCTCATGCCAACAAGTGGAAAAAAAGACAACAAAAGATGCACAGAACCAAACAGAACAGGTTAAAACCTCTTGTATCCTATCATTTCATTCTACAAAATAATACTCTCATTTTTCTCTCTTCCTCCAAACTCAAACTCAACTTCAATGGCTGCCTTCTCTCTCTTCTCTTTTCTTCCTCCTTAAACTGTCAAATTTAAGGGAACCCTATCCATGTTGTTGAATATAATAAATGCCAAACCTTAAACTATATGATTCCTTTGACCATGTTATAAATTAAATACTTAAAACCTACCAAACAGGGGTCAACATCCTATATAGTATCAAGTTGCTGAAAAAGAGCTACTGATTTAATAATTTACCCAATGTATAACAAAACAAATAAAAAAAAACATGGGGATTCTGAACTACATCCGAGGCTTTCACAAAAAAAAAAAAAAAAAAAAAAAAAAAAAAAAAAAAAAAAAAAAAAAAAACAGCCCCAACATCTGAAATCTTAATTTAGTGGACAAACCTTTAATGTTTACCAATTGAACCTTAGTCCATAGATATGATCATTTACTCAATCATCTTCACAACAGTCAAGACCATGCCAAACAGAAACTTTCAGGCCTATTTCCTAGTTCTGACATGGATTCGATGTTTGCAATTGGATCTGGTCATGTTGGCACACCTCATACGAGGACGAGCATCATAGAATTAAGGAAATACTCCTCGTTCCAAAAGAACGTTTTTTATTTCTATTGGGAACAAAAATTTAGGAGAGAATTAAGTCTTTAAAAAAAAAAAAAAAAAAAAAAAAAAAAAAAAAAAAAAAAAAAAATTAATGAACAGATTGCAGCCACCAAGTCAGGATCTTAAGGAACAAAAATCTCAGAATAATTAGCTATGACATATGGTAGTGAAGATCCTCTGCAAGTAGTTTTAGAAGATTGCTTGCCATGCTATAGCTAACTAATAGGTATAACAAAAACCGATTACTCAAACAAGATTTTTCTGTTTAAGCTCACTTTGACACCAAAAGAAGCAATACTGCATAGATATAGAATCTTTTCAGTTCGTGTTCTCATACTGAAAGTACAACCAAAGGCAAACAGTACTCTAGCAATATCAGGAAGCAGTCATAACCCGTTACCAGCAATAACATTATTTCCTAAAATTTACGGATTTTTCACCAAATGCCCATGAGTTTTTTTTTTATTCACCACATACCCATGAAAATTCTCAAATTCACCATATACACTTGAGTTTCACAAAAATGTCACCAAATGCCCCTAATAATTAACGGCAGTTAATTTCGTTTGTCATTAACATTAATTATGACACGTGTTTAGGGTAATTTTACCCCGCCACGTGGTCCAACCAGAGGACGACACGTGTCAGCTTCAGGTTGGCCCAAAGTGGACCAATCTACGCCTGACACGTGTCACTCCAGAAATTAAGGGAAAAAAGGCGGCCTTCAGGCCCAAATCCCGAGAAAGCCGCAAAGCGGCGCAGCCCACCAATGATTAGGGTTCAGTGACCTAATCAGGGGCGCAAATCCCAAAGACTCTATAAATAGGGAGATGTCCCTCTTTTGGAGGGCAGGTTTTTACCATTTATTACAAACAGTCCCTGTGATAGAGACATCTGAGCTTGGAATCCGAGCAGATACCCACCTAAATTTCCGCATCTTTTCCTTTCTCTACAAGTCACTAACTTGTGCGTCGGAGGCAGAGCACCACCCAACAGGTGTCTCCGTTTGTTTTGCAGGTACAGCTCACGCCGGATCAGTCTTAGTGTTGTAACTCTCCCGAGGGACAAAAACACCCAAAACATTTGGCGCCGTCTGTGGGGAGAGTACCTCGAAGATGGTTCAAGAGTCTGTACCACCCCCTAACCGTCTTGGCGATGACCCAGGAGTCTTTACAGAACATCCGGCCCAGAGATATTCTGGAGCGGGGTGCCTTCCAGGCGGGTACAAGTCGACCCCTTGGCAGCCGGAGGGGGAAACCCATACGGCCGCTGGATCAGCACTGGTGCTACCCGAGACGAACTCATGAGGTTCATGACCAGCTTCAAGGGTGAGATTAAAGAGCTGATCACCCATAGCCGGGCTTGGCCCAAGCAGAGGTCAGTCGGCCAAGAAGGCTCCTCTGGAAAAGGGGAAGTCAGTCAAAGATCGGCAGCCAACTCCCCATCCAAAGGAGAAGGCAGCCGGGACCATTGATTGGTCCAAGATTCTTCTTCCTAAGAGGAATAACAATACCCGCCGGACTCAACAGCCGGTGGGAAGTAAAAAGTCATCTCTTGATGCCCGGGAAATAATCAACCGAAAGAGAAATCAACAGCTGTCTGAGTCGGCTTCAACGTCGAACTTCCCTGACAGCTTCAACAATACTTCTGCAGGGAATGCTCTCTCCCTGCACGAGAGCCAGACGGGTGGTAATACCGTCCACTCTGGCCCTCAGATGATTGGAACTGTGCCGTATGTACCTACTCAAGTTTACGGTCAGTATCCCCCTCACTTCATGCAGTCGACCCTCTTCGGGGATCAGGTGGCATATCAAAATGTCCAGCCACTGGATTGGCAGCTCCGTCTGCTACGCCTGGGTGAACAACCTTCTGCGTTCACCCGGGAGATAACCGAGGCGGCACAGCCGGCCAAGGTTAAGAATGTATTGGTGGGTACTTATGACGGTACCTCCAACCCGGAAGATCATCTCATGGCTTACACCAACCTCATGTATTTACAGGGGTTGGATGATGCCACTTGGTGTCGATGCTTTCCGGCTACATTAAAGGGCATTGCCCAACAATGATTTGGCAACTTGCCAGCCAGGTCCATTGACAATTTCAGGAAGCTCGCCTTCCTGTTTCTTTCCAACTTCTCAATGAACATCCCTGCTAAGAAAACAAGCCTTGATTTGAGCACTGTTAAGCAGGGGAGAGAGAAGGGTTGCGCTCCTTTGTCAGGCGGTTCAACCTGATCATAATTCAGATTCAAGGACTGTCTGACGAGGTAGCTTTTACAGACTTCTTCAAGGGTCTAAGAGACGGGTCGACCTTTAAGTTCGACCTAGTCAGAAAAGGGGCTTTCACCTTACAGGCGGCCCTGAGGGAGGCGGAAAGCTACATTCAAGCTACCGACCTCTGCCCGCCTGGTAACCAGTCGGACTCCAAGAAGTCCGACAAGCAGAAAGACAGCCGGTCTGCCCATCCGGCCAAAAAGAAAGAAGAGAGCAAGAAGAGAAAAGAAATCTGGGCAGTTAATGACTCTGACTAGCCGTCCCAGAAGAAAAAGAAAGAGTTTAAACCGTACGTTCCTAAGTACGAGTTTAACAAGGACTGCAACTCCATCCTCATGGAAATCAAGGACCAACTGTCCCTAGAGAAGCCGAATCCAATGAAAAGTTCCATTCAGTCAAGGAACAAGAACAAATTCTGCCAATACCATGAGGAGGTTGGCCATGACACCAACGACTGCTTCAGCCTACAACAGGCGTTGGACCGTCTGGCTGACAAGGGGATGTTGAAGTCTTACATAACCAAGTCCCCAGCCGGGGCAAAGAAGAAGAACAAGGGTCAGTCATCCAAGACTACCCCCCAGCCTGCTAGTAGCTCGGATACCGACAAGGAGCCGGTCTACACAATAGCAGGCGGGTTCTCCTGTGGTGGCCCTACCATCCGGGGCACCAAGAGCCATCTTCGAAAGATGGACAAGGATGATGATGAGCAGGCGTCTGCAAGCACCTCCTTCCCAGACGTCTTGATCACTGAGGACAGGGGCAGCGTCCGCCGTCCGCATGATGACCCGGTCATCATTGAATGTAAGGTTGCCAACCAGCTGGTTGGAAGAATCCTTATTGACACCGGCAGCTCATCAGACATCATCAGTCTCCGGTGCCTGCAAAAGCTGAAATACAACGTCAGCAACATGCATCCGGTCACCCACCCCTTGGTTGGTTTTGGGGGTGGGATGGTCTACCCAGCCGGAAGAATTGACTTACCCATCCGGCAGGGAGAGAAGGGCCAAGGACGACATATTGTCGTCAGATTCTTGGTCGTTGAGGAGTTGACCGCCTACAACATTATCCTTGGTCGGCCAACCCTCAACGTAGCCAAGGCAGTAATCATCGCGTCTCTCATGCTCATCAAGTATGAGAGGGATGACGGTACTGTTGGTTCCCTAAATGGGGATCAGAAGACGGCACGAGAGTGCTATCTCTGAGCCGTCAGAGACACTGTGACCCCAGGCGGCCAGGAACCAATAGACCTTGACAATATCAAGGATGCCGACTGGGAAGAAAAGAAAGGCACCTGCTGGTGGAGGTGAAGAAAGAGAAAAAATAGCAATCACTGACCGGTCAGACGAGCTTCGTCCCCAACCGGCTGGTGAAAACATTGATCTCGTTCTGGATGACAGCCGTCCAGAACGAGTTTAAAGGTTGGGACGGTTGCTCATGCTACCTTGGGTGCAAGCTTGCACCTTCTGCTGAAGGAATTCAAAGACATTTTTGCCTTTGAAGTGGAAGAGATGCCAGGCGTCAGCCCCGGATCTCGCTGTCCACAAACTCGCCCTGGACCCCAAAAAGAAGCCCATCCGGCAAAAGAAAAGAAACCACGGCGAGGAAAGAAGTCAGGCGGCAGCTGCCGAAGTCAAAAAGCTGCTAGACGCCAGGTTCATTCGGCCCTGTAACTTTCCCGACTGGGTGGCCAATGTGGTCCTTGTTAAGAAACCGAATGGGACCTGGCGCATGTGTGTTGATTACACAGACCTCAACAAGGCGTGTCCAAAGGACAATTACTCGCTTCTAAAGATCGACAGTCTAGTCGATTCTACAGCCGGGCACGCCTTGATGAGTTTTATGGATGCCTACTCCGGCTTCCATC